ACCTTCAAGGAAGTTTTTGGGAGCGTTACCTGACAAGGCGTCGTTTATGACAAGTGTGAATTCCCTCGAAATTATCCTCCAGCATTTCAGGTAAAATTCCTGGGGTAATCCGTCAATGCCCGGGGATTGTTTTGAGCAGCTCGATTTAATTGCAGCGAAAACCTCCTCCTCCACAACATTTCTCATGATCGATATGTTTTCCTCGATATCATTTGAAACCATGACCATGACCCAACAAGGCTCCATGAAATCCAACAAGGCTCCCGGGGTCGATCGCATATCAGCAGAGATGCTCAAAGCTGACCCCATGCTATCTGCACAAATGTTGCATCAACTATTCTGCAATATCTGGGACACCGCGACTTTTCCGGCTGACTGGATGCAGGGCGTCTTAGTGAAGGTCCCAAAGAAGGGGGACCCAACTGTATGCGATAACTGGCGTGGCATTATGTTACTGTGCTGTGTTCTCAAAGTTCTATGCAAAGTTATCCTCAACCGGATACAGGAGAAGATCGACGCGACTCTCCGACGGCAGCAGGCGGGATTCCGTGCTGGAAGATCCTGTGTGGACCATATTGTCTCGCTCCGCATAATCTTGGAGCAGGTCAACGAATTCCAAGAGTCCCTTTACTTGGTTTTCATTGACTACGAAAAAGCTTTCGACCGACTCAACCACGAAAACCTGTGGGGCGCCCTAAGGCGCAAGGGAGTTCCGGATAAAATCGTCAACCTCATCGAAGCTCAGTATGAGGCTTTCACGTGCAGGGTGCTGCACAACGGAGCCCTATCTGACCCTATTCGGGTAGTCGCTGGAGTGAGGCAAGGATGTATTCTATCACCGCTACTGTTCCTCATCGTAATCGACGAGATAATGGTTGGTGCGATCGACCGTGTGCCGAACCGTGGGTTGCTCTGGCAGCCTATTACAATGGAGCATCTAAACGACCTAGATTTGGCGGATGACGTTGCTTTAGTATCACAACGGCGTTCTGACATGCAGAGTAAGCTCGACGATCTCGCCGAACGCTCCTCAGCGGCAGGTCTCAACATCAACGTCAGCAAGACTAAATCGTTGGATATCAACACGGGAAATCCATCCAATTTTACGGTAGCTGGTCAGGAAGTGGAGAAGGTTGAAAGTTTCCAATATCTTGGCAGCCAGATAGCGTCGGACGGCGGAACCAAGAGTGACATAGGTGCACGGATCAAGAAGGCAAGGGCTGCTTTTGCGAGTTTACGAAACATCTGGAAGTCAAATCAGATTAGTCTCCGCACGAAGATCCGAATTTTCAACTCTAACGTGAAATCTGTACTGCTGTACGCTAGCGAAACATGGTGCGTATCAGCGGAGATCACACAGAAGCTGCAGGTGTTCATCAACCGATGCCTGCGGTATATAATTCGTGCTTGGTGGCCTCACAACTGGATTTCGAATGCCGAGCTCCATCGACGGTGTCACCAGAAGCCGATATCGACAGAAATTCGGGAACGTAAGTGGAGGTGGGTTGGCCACACTCTACGGAAGAGCGGAAATGAAATCTGCAAACAAGCGCTGGATTGGAATCCAGCCGGACATCGCAGCAGAGGCAGACCCAGGGGCTCATGGCGGCGAAGCCTAAACAAGGAGATTAAGCAAGTCGACCGGAATTTGACCTGGGCCCAGGTCAAGGCGAAAGCAAACAATCGCCCAGGATGGAGATCTTTCACGTTGGCCCTTTGCGCCAGGGATGGCGCTCAGGACACTTAAGTAAGTAAGTAAGATATCATTTGGGATACTTCTAGTCGGCAAGAACCTCGCAGTATTAGAGGTTTCACCAGCAGCATACAGTTGATTGAAGAAACGGGAGACTTCAGCACGAATTTCATTTATATCCATGGTAACGTTGCCATCTCGAAGTTCGAGCAAGTTGATGCTTGTTCGTGCTTTGCGTGTTGACCGCTCGTTTAGATGAAACAGGCTTGTCTGCTCACCACCTATATAAGATGAATTGTTCCTTCGGAGCTTTGTTGACAAATTTCGCTGTAGTTGAAGAATTTGTCCCTTGATGCGATTGATGTTAGAACGTTCGTGCGGATTTCCAGGAAGTTGATTAACCACGTGCGAAAGCTGAGTTTGTTAAATTTCCATGGTTCCACGAAAATCATTGAAGAGCAGCGATGTTTTCCATTTAAGAAAGGAAATCAGTTTCGGCTTACAAAAAGTGATCCACCAATCCATCCATGTTGCATAATGCCTTCTGTTTCGGACCCAGTATATCCATTTTCGTTCAAGTTCGGGGAATGCTTCAGGTTCGTCCAAAACTTTCGTAAAAAGACTCCACACACCTCTACCAGCTGATGTGCCAAGGTCCGGTAAAACTATCCGTACGATGTAAGCCTTGTGATCGGTGAAAGCAGTAGTGCAGAAGTAAGCATTCCTTAGCCATCCCCGCATGGTTGCGCGTACCAGAATCCTGTCCAATCGTGATGCAGAATCGTGTCGCAGTAATGAATATTCTACTCGAGTTCCATTCAGATTTGTCCACGTATCGGTGAGTTTAATTGAAGTCATCAATCGTTTCAACGTTGGACTCGGGTTACCGGAGCCGATGGCATCCCTTTCGTTCACCACGCAATTGAAGTCACCTCCAAATATTGTATAATTAGATGCCCGTTGCAAGTAAAATGGCACGATGGAATTAAAGAAGCTTTCGCGGTTACTCCTGTTTTGTGAACCAGATGGAGCATAAACATTCACAAAGGTGACCTCCCCTATCTGGAAAGAGATCAAACGGGAATCTAGACTACGATGCACATTTTGGTATTGGATGGTTGTTTATATTGATGGTACAAATGTTGTAGCTTTTTAGATCCATTTTAATGACGATTTTTAGACCTGGAAGGCCTCTTGCTTTCGGTAGTCTTGGGTGATCCCGGACGTTTGAATGCAGATTCCGAATGATGGTTACGGGTGCATTGATTTTCATTGGAGATCTCTCGCTGGTTCCAGTTAGGTGATTTGAGAATTTTCTCACTCACATCAATCACTTCTTGGACGAGTTGAGATGACCGCTGTCCCGTTGGGGAGGCAGCAACAACAGTATAGCGGAGTTAGCAGTAACAGCAGCAACGAAATTATCAACAACAGCAGTAGCAGCAGCGGAGCACGTCTCAGCAGCAGTTTCGGTGGTGTGGAAGGCGGTGTTGGCTGGAGTGAGGACTGGCATTGGAATTTCGTCCTCGATCGAACCGAAACGTTCGCTTGGCGATATGTCCCTCGAAATACTTGTTGCAGTTGTTGGATGTCCAGTTTCAGTTGGTGCCTCAGGTGAATTCAGTTTTTTTTTCCTCACGCAATGATTTTGCATATTCGGAGCACTTCATGGTCCATTGCACCCTTCGGTTGCAGTGACGGCAAGTGGGGATCTGGTTTTTGTGTGTGACGAGGGTCATATGTGAGATATCTGCGTATATTGTCACATACGACGGAATGGGTTTAGAAATGCGCATTCGAACTATTCTCACTCCATTAGGAACCTTGTTGAAAAGGTTCCTGCAGTAGTCATCTTTTATCGACAACACCTCACCAAACTGCGTCATCTGTTCTGCGATAATATGGTTTGGCATATCAAACGGCATATCATGCAGCTTAACATCCGTTGCTTCATGAAGAACGGAATACGGTAGGTGATGTCTTTGTACTCCACCGTGTGCTTGAGGTTGTGCTCTTCAGCGAATTGTTCTGCAGATTCTATTGTATCCATCTTGATGAATACGTACGATGTGATGTTGTTGAGCTGCAATCCTCGCACTTTGCACCAATCAAGCTGAACATCGTTCGGGATGAAATTGTCCACTCGGGACGGTTTGGGTTTTGCTGGCATGACACTAAAGTCAATCACGCATAGTTGGCGGTTGGCCATGTTTGTGGTGTGTGCTGGTTCCTCTCGGAAAAGGGTAGCAAAACTCATCGGACGGGTGTCCGGAAAAAGTAAAAAAAAAAACACAACTTTTTTCTCTGCCGTAGTATTACTCGTCCGTACACTGTAAGGGCTAGGTGTCAACTATGACAACAGTCACTTCGACTCTCGGAATAAGCTCAAATTTTTTCCTGATTTGTCATACAAAATTCATCGGTTTTTCCCGGTTTTTTCCCGGTGACTCAAATTTCCGGCTTTTCCCGATTTCCCGATTCACTGCTTTAATTGTTTATGAGATCAATTGCAATACATCTACCAATCTTTTCGGAAAAAAATATGAATGGTCAATAATTGGATCATATTTGCACTTTTGGTCCTGGATTATCGTCTATGGCGATAATGCCTGAAGGTATGCAACGTTTCAACAGCTGCTGCGTATATTTTGCTACGATAATTAACCGCATCAAATAAATTCAATAAAATAGCTGATATCGTAACTTACGTTTAATCATCTAACATAATCACTCAATGATCATTCTTGCTGATAAATGTCATTCCAAGATGCATTTAGCCATGTTTTATGAGTGTGCAATAATTAGATACAAAGTGTGCAATAATAGAATGTCAAAGCAAATGATGCGTGCAGCAATTGGACTCTGAGGGACATTCAAAAGTTTTATTATACAGAATGATTTTAACAATATAAATTGTTGATGAGCGCTGTGAATGCTTCATGAATCACATTCAAAGGTTTCTTGAGGAATTCCAACTTCAAAAACGATTTCAATCTAATTAAAATCCAAAATAACCAAAAGTACGTGCTCAGCTATACAACAATTGGCAAATTACCCTAACAAATTTTTCCGTAAATAATTATGGTCAATGGTTAGGACGTGTTGAGTAAAAATTTCGCATTTCCCATATTAATTCCCATGTAAACTTCAAAGGCCAGTGCAGAATGAGCTAACATTTTGCGAGAATTATCAGGATCTGAGTTGATATTGTTTGAGCTTGGTGGAGGAAAATCGATATTCTCACCCTTAAACTAACTAATGTCAAATAGCAAGTTGCTGTTCAGAACTGCCGCAAAAAAAAACCTACCTCTTCTCGCTTTTGCCGAACGGTGGCACATCCTTCCACAATGATATAGAAATCGTTCCCTGGCTCGCCTTGCCTCACGATCGTTTCACCATCCTCGAACGAAACCGGTTCCAGTGCATCCGCCACGGTGAGTCGTTCCCATTTGTCCAAGCTCTCTGCAATCAAAATCATCACAGTGGTTATAATCTTTTCCGTTTTCTAGCTTATAGTATGCAATTCCAAACTCACCCAAAATCGACACCCGCGATAGGAACTCTTCGTACATCTTCCGCTTCCGGATGGTTGATCCCATCAGAATGCGCCGGTAGCTGTCCCGATCGATGCCCCACAGTTTGACGTCGGTTTTGGCACGTACCGTGGCGGCTCGCGGAGTTCCATAGATCAGGGCCAGTTCGCCGAAGCTTCCGCCCTCGCTAATTGTTGTTACCTGCTCGTTATTTACGAAAACCTGTGTGGCACGTGTGGGGTGAAAAAAGACAAACATGTTATTGGTAGATTGCCCAGCATTATGGTCGCGGTGGTGGGTTGACGCGGAAAGTTCTGCATAGTGTTATAATGGAAATGACGAGAAGGCGGATAAATTGTTATGATGGATTGCATGTAACCCGTTGTGTACACGAGCCTGCCAGTGTACGAGAAAGTTTGAGAACATCGTTTCCTACTCGGTTTAATTAATTCGAGAGGTTATGAAACGGTAGTCGGTAGCTACTAGTTAGTAGTATTTAACACTCGCTGCACATTGCCATGCGTTTCCATTGGAAAATATTTACACAAACAATTTCAATGAACTAAACACCAACCGTCAGGATTGCAAATGCTTACAGCTACTTGTAGAAATTATGAAACTATGAGATATTGTAACGATATCTAGCGTTTCAACGATTTACTCTGCGCATTACCAAAGTTAAGTGAACCAATTTATCGAAATTAAAAAAGTAAAAGGTTGTAATAACTAACAAAGGCAATTTCAAATGCGCCGAGAAATTTCAATACAGTCGAGCTATTAACAAAAGACAAAATCGATTAAGAGAATGAATCAGCGCAGTTAGGCCCTTATGATTCTGAACGCTAGATATTTTTTCATTTGTAAGATGCAGGAAGAGGAGGTAAAGTTTGTGTATGATCCATAAAACCTGTCAATGTTGCTTTCAAAGGGTCACAATTAGAGATTTGAGTTGTAATGAGTAATCGCGATGATTGAGCGCTCATCATTTACCTTCTCTTCCTGCATCTTACAAATAAAAAAAATATCATTACAATATCTCACAGTTTCATAATTCCGAATAATAACATTTTAGCAGTTATTGAGCAATTGCAAGTCTGCCAACCATCATCTCGCATAGAAATGATCTCGTTGAAATGTTTCATTCACGATCGAACAGCCAAAATTCCCCAAATGAATGGTTGCACCTATCAATTAAGCCATCAGCATGCTTACGCGCTCTTTCCCATCCACTGCCACCACCCCGGGGTATAATTGATGCACCGGAGCAGCATCTGGTGCCCCGAAAAGTGAGCACTACAATATTTCTTCGCTGTCAGTTTACAATTTGATTGAGGTAGGTAAATAAACAAATAAGAAGCTCGCAGTTGAAGAAAGGAACACCTCATAAATGTGTGTGTGTGTTTTTTTTTATGACGCTGCTGCTGATGGGTCGAACATTCCCAATTGGCACCCGGTCTATTTTGGGAGAATTTATGCATTTGTTGATTATCCTGTTTGTTTGGGTATAATTGTGTACACGTAGGATCATCGTCAGTTGACGGATTGATGATTAACAACACTCAAGCAGTGCGCCAGTTTGCATACAATTAATTTACCTACTCGTGATTACTTTTTTCCCTACGTGTGTTTGATTGATTTTGTTCAAGAATGTTCATTTTATGTTTTTTTTTCCTGAATTTATTCAAGGTTGTCGATCGTGGTTCTTGATCGAGTATTTGAAATTCAAACTTACAATTTGGTATGTCAGAATGCATTATTACTTTCATAGAATAAGACCTGTCTCGTCAAGGTTGCAAAACGACGAAATTTCGCGTGAACTCCAGAAACTTCAAACATTTGTTTAACGATTCGAGCACCGAACCAATATCAGATGTTTCACTGTTATGGGCCCTATTATGCAAGTCGAGTCAAGCGTTACTGGTATAATTTATTCAAGGTGCAGGGACTGCATTTCATGGCTCACAGCAGTTTAAAACGTATCTAGTATGAATAATAATTTTGGATTCGAGGACTATACAAATTGTAGAATTAAATACAAAATAGACCAGTAGGAAAAATGGCTCTAATGTTTGCCTTTGGATCTAAGATTGGGCCCATCGCTAAAAATCTGATATTTATCAATTTATCTAGATGCATGCGTCATTGGGACGGTACTAATTGATATCTTTGGTCGTTATTGAAAATTTAGTCGATTGCTGAATTTATATATGGACCCAAATTAGGGGAATATAGGCTGACATTACATCCATCCATCCATCCATCCGCTACTTGTGTACTTCGGATGCTGCTGATGTGGTGCGCCTTGTTCCGAAGGGCATAGATACCGCCAACTTGACGTTTGTTTCTTACATGATCGGATTGGACCCTAATCTGAAGGAATTGGCGTTGGAACCCTCGACTTGGCCCGTTGGTATCCGTTTACGGAAGTTTGTCAATTTCCCAAAAAAAAAAACTGATGCTTCCTGTCGGATTGACGGACCCCGCGACGCATGTTAAAAAGCACATTGGAGGCCACTTCTCAGCTCGACACAGTCCGGTCTATTGCTGCCAGCGTTCATCATAGTCGTCGCGGCCCTGCTGTCGAGACTGTAGTTGACGTCCTCGAGCCTGCTTTCCCAGGCAAGTACGTTCTTTTTCATGAACTCTCACTTCCTGAACGTGCTTCCGATTCCAGCGTATGTCCGTTCGAGGACACTAGTTGTTGCAATATACCAACGCATATCCCTTCATCACTTTTCAACGCTTCATCTTCACACCACTCTTCAAAACAAACAAGCTCATCGTCATCTGACCCGGGACGCCCTACACATAGCAGTACGGAAGCCCCTGACTAGAGATGGATGATCCACTCCCGAGCTGTTCTAAAGAACCGATTCACTAAAGTGAGCTGATGACCTGAGGTTCATTTTTTAGGAATCGCAGCTCATCAGCTCACTGATATCACGAGGCTAAACCATTCCATCGGAAGTTTTCAGAAAATGACTCATTACTCCACTTACACATTGAACAGCCACCGCGTAAACCAAGATGCACGCGTAATACAACATGTGCCTGCTGATCGATAGCATCAACGGTAAAAGCAAACTTCCAAGTGGCTGTATGGTGTTACACGATGTTAAATTTCTACTGGTATTATCCACGTACGGATTTACGTACCCGGCTCTTATTGCTAATGTTACTTCTCCAGCATATGTGCTCTCACCTCTCCTCTAATCATTCTCTGGAAGAGCAGAAAATCCGCACAACAGCAAATAACCGAAAAGCGAAATGCAGCTCTCAACCTCACAGCTCAGCTCTGGATCCGAATTAGAGATGTGCGATCCGCTCCCGAGCAGTTCTAAAGACTTGATTCACTAAAGTGAGCTGATAACCCACGATTTAATTTTTAGGAACCGCAGCTCATCAGCTCACTGATATAACAAGTCAAGAACAACTCCACACTCTACTTACGCATTGAACAGCCACCGCGTAAACCAAGATGCGCGCGTAATACAATATGTGATCGATATCATCAACGGTAAAAGCAAACTTCTAAGCGACTTTATGGGAGAGAGACATATTTACATGTTTTACACTATGTAAAATGTCTACTGATATTATCCAATGTATTTACGTTCCCGGTTCTTCAGTGGCGTCGCGTCCACATGTGCAACCTGTGCACGACACAGGTGCGAATAATAAAAAAAAAAATGCGTTTAGATTTTTATAGATTTCATGGTCACATTATAGCTGTACTTCTTTACTCCAGATCACAAGTGAGCATGAATACTCTATTTCTATTGCTTCAAAAAGGATTAAATTCAGTTCGGATGGTCTGCCTAATCCCTAATGCATTGATTTCTAAGCATACCGATATCTCTACCATGACAAAACTCGTTAAATAGTGCACCTAAAAGCGAGCTTTTTTGGGTGACGGGTGGCAAGTTTGTGAATGGTCAAATGCCTGATGTAAGCCAAGCAGACCTTCTATCACCTCTTGAAACATACCACAAATTTTCCACAATACATGGTGGTTTGCACCACTAGTTGTAATTGAAACTTTCAGCAGTCACGCATCAAACGGGAGCAACACGGAAACAGCATTCTGGTACGCTTTGGACTTGTATCATACTTGCAGACCGGTTTGAATGTGTGAGTTTAAATTGGAAGAACATTTGTGATGTATGGGTGCCTAAAGCGTGCATTTCTCGCTGTGCACTTGGATATCTGATTGCAGGCAAAGAGAGTCAGAAAGAGATCGCAAAAACTCGCTCTCACTCTCTTGTCAGTTGTAAATCTCTCAATTATTACCGATGGTTGCGCCGGTGCGACTGTCAAAACTTATGAGCTTCCCCTGGTTCATTCTGATAGTGTTGTTCTGATGAATAAAGAGTTGATTAATTCAAGTTTGCTACCCATAGGACTTCATGAATTTTCTCTAGATTTTGACACTTTTTTGATACAAAAAAAAATGTTTTCGGAAGTGTTTGACGGACATTCTTAGCCTTGCAAGAATTATTTAAGTTTTGAAATTCCTACTACTTCGGTTAGCGCGAAAAGGACCATACAGGTTTTGTTTACACAAGATGATAGGCCCTTCAAATGTTACGTTAGGTAGTGATTAATATAGTAATTGAGAATATGTCCCTCGAATTAATGGAGCATTGAAAAACAAAACAAAAACTAATAGGGGAAATGTCGACTTTGGCAATACCTTAACTTATTTATCGTCAGGGGGTAAACAAAGTCTTAAAACACTCAAATTTGGCCAATAGATGCTCTGAAACACAATCCCCCTTATTCTGCGAGTCACGTGACTCTCTGTCACCGGTGAGGTGACAATTGTCACCTCGTGTGAGGTGACTCTCCATGTAAATCAAATGGAGAGTCACCTCACACGAGGTGACTATTGTCACCTCACCGGTGAGAGAGAGTCACGTGACTCGCAGAATAGGGGGGAATGTATCCACATGCCAAAATTGAGCTCTCAAAGATGTTGTTTACCCTCCTGACGATAATAGAATAAGGTATTGCCGAAGCCGTCAATTACCCTATGTGGTAGTAAACTATAACGAACAAAGTTTGGTGCACAGGTAAACAAATGAGGCACGCGACGCCTCTGCGGTTCTTATTTCTGATGTTATTGCTGCAGCATATGTGCTCTCATTTCTCTTCCCGGAAGATCCACACAAAAGCAGATAACTGTGAAATGCAGCTCTCCACCTCACAGCTCAGCTCCGGATCTGAATCATCGACCCGAATGATTCACTGGGAGCTGTTCAGGATGACAGCTCTCGGATCCGTCCAGCTCTTCGGATCTTTTTTTTTTCTCTCGATTCTTCACGATTCTGCGGATCTGAGCCGAGAATGGTGAGAGCAATTTTGCTGGAGAATTAACATCAGCATTAAAATCTGTGTGTACACTGAATTGCATAGCATGAGAAAAGGCGTCAATTCTATCAATCACAAGCGATAGAGTTATAGATTGGTAGTTCTGTTGATGCGTTAGTGGCGTTTTCAATTGAAAAGTAGTGCAATGTTGTAAGCTACGGATTTATTGGTTTAGATTACTTTTACTTTTTTATGTAGTTTTAAGGTCACCAAAACCAGTTATTTCTTTCACGATTTCGAATTTGTATCAAAATTTCTATAATTTCAATGTCAGCTGAAGAGCTGTTCAAAAGAATCAACTCCCCTTATTGAGCTGTTTTGCCCACCTCTACCCCTGACCCGCCTAGCTCAGTCGAGCCCGCAGCCGTCATGGAAAATATCTCGCAGCTTTCTCGTTCCTGCCACCCAAGTCGTCCCGGCCCTGAGTCTAGTACTGGCGATGGGGTCTTCCAAGCTGCCTATCATGGCAAGTATCCTAACAGTAACGGTAATTCTCGCTCTGAAGAACTTTCGTTCCCTAGGAGTTCCAGTACCATCGATGCCTGGATTTATTATCAAAACGTGAGAGGTTTGAAGACTAAACTGGACGACATTTTTTTTTGGCATCTCTCGACAGTACCTACGATGTCATTATGCTAACGGAGACAGGATTAGACGACAGCATCAATTCCCTGCAGATTTTTGGAAATTCATTCAACGTTTTCTGTTGGGATCATTCCCATTTGAATTGCGACAAGCGCTGCTTTGGTGGTGCGATCATAGCCGTTGCCGAACGACATGGCAGCTCGCGCATTGATACGAACAATGGCAGGAGACTGGAGCAAGTGTGTGTTTCTGCCAATATTCGTGGTCGTCGATTCCTGATGTGCAATATTTACATTCCACCGGACAAAAGCTGTAATGTCGATCTAATTGAAGAACACATCGCCATCGTTCGTGAACTCTGCGACAACGCTTCTTTGGATGACACGTACTCGTGTGCGGCGATTACAATCAACCTCGTACTGCCTGGTTGAAAATGGAATTCGTCTTGCTTCTTCGACGCTTTTGACTCCGGCGAGTCCAGCGTTATTCAACGGTATGGACTTCTTGAACCAGAATCAAGTTAACGTGCAGCTGAATAATTTAGGTCGCACACTCGATTTGGTTTTCGCACCCGTGGGTAGCTCTTCTGTAGTATATTCTGAGGTTCTAGGGACGACAATGTTAGCCTCCCAGCCCGAGTGCAGATTGACGGTGACGAAATCGAGATGGTCGATGAACTCGTGTATTTGGGCTCACTGGTGACCGCCGAAAATGATACCAGCAGGGAAATTCAAAGACGCATTATGGCAGGGAATCGTGCCTACTTTGGACTCCGGAGGACGCTCCGGTCGAATAAAATTCGCCGCCGCACGAAGTTGACTGTCTACAAGATGCTGATTAGACCGGTGGTCCTCTACGGCCACGAGACCTGGACTATGCTCGTGGAGGACCAACGTGCCCTTGGTGTTTTCGAACGGAAGGTGTTGCGTACCATCTACGGTGGAGTGCAGATGGATGACTGAACGTGGAGGAGGCGAATGAACCACGAATTGCACCAGCTGCTGGGAGAACCATCCATCGTCCACAATGCAAAAATTGGGCCACTACGGTGGGCTGGGCACGTCGTAAGAATATCGTACGACGACCCAGTGTAAATTGGTTCTAGAAAGCGACCCAACAGGAACAAGTAGAAGAGGCGCGCAGAGGGCAAGGTGGATCGACCAAGTAGAAGGCGACCTGCGGACCCTTCGCAAACTACGAGGCTGGCGAACTGTGGCCATGGATCGAGTAGAGTGGAGACGACTTCTTGGGACAGCAGAGGACAACAAGGCCTTAGCCTGATTGGTAAGGTAAGTATGGTTCGTTGGCGCAGGAGGTGCGCTTAGTCCACCACAAAGCAGGCTTTGAGATCCGGAACTGGGTTTCCAATGCACCAGAAGTTCTCCACGCTCTGGGATCTAAGGAAAGAGTTCTGGGAATCATCTGGTATCCGGGCATGGATGAGTTCACATTCTCAACGATGCACCGTGAAGAGATGATGCCGTACTTGTTCAAGGGAAAACGACCGACGAAAAGGCTCGTCGCAAGCTGCGTGATGGGATTCTTCGATCCGCTCGGACTACTATCGTCATTCACCATCCACGAAAAAATAATAATCCTATGCCTGTGGCGTTCCAACTGCGACTCCATTTCTTAGGAAATCGACTCCATTTCTTAAGGATTATGGAAGCGGTGGAAAAGTTTATTGCAGTAGGTTGAAGCCATTAGAATTTCCCGCTGCTATTTCGGTGGTGCCAGGTCGACCGTAGTTGATTCGAACAAGGATACGGCTGCGTAGCATACTTGAGCCTGGAGTTGTTGGGTGCTGTTCTGGGGGCTTGGATGAGTCAAACGATCCTGGGCACGCACTCATATCAGATTAGTCGCACCGTCTTCTGGATGCATTTTCGAACCGTGTGCAGTTGGCTCAATTCCGATCAACACCGATACAAGCAATTCGTTGCATTCCGGGTTGATGAGATTCAAGACCTGACGTAGGTTGAGGATTTTAGATGGGTTCCAACCAATATGGACATCGCAGACGTACTGACGAAGTGGGGACAAGGTCCGCTGTTGCAAACTGAAGGAGAATGGTTGAATGGGCCAGCGTTTATGTATCGGCCGCAAGAGATGATGATTGAAGAGACGGACGAGGAAGCAAGAGGTATTGTGCTGTTCCACGGGGTGATCGACGTCGAACCGATTTCTCGCTGGACAAACTATAACCAACTGCCGACGAAAAAGAAGAGGAAAGCCGATAGTGACCACACCAACTACGGCGAAGCAGCGGCAGCTGATCCAAGCGACGGCAGCGAATTACGCGCAGGGATGCCAAAAATACACAATTTATACAGATTTTTTAGCAGTTTTCAAACCAATAATCTGTATATACAGACATACAGATTTTTTTATTGTGTAAAAGTATATACAGATATTTTGAGGTATGTCTTTAATTCAGCTAAATTTTTGCGTTAGTCTTACTTTCATTTTATCGTAACCTTGCCTCAAGAGTTTAGAACTCAATGAACTGGATTACCGGGGTGAAGTAATCGGGCACACACAACTTCATGACAGCACTTTACGTACATGCAATTACCTACGTCACAAATTGCGTATATGTACGTTGTTTTTTTGGATTACTAATCTAGAATGATCTTATGACGGTAAGCACCAGCTGATATTATCCTCGGTTTAAATCCCGATAACGAATGTTGGGTTGATTTGGTATCGATGGTGCTATTAACCAATTCAATCTTAAGCAAACATTAGGCAGATTTTCCAAACAGGAACGGTATTAAAAGTAAATCCAAGTTGAAGCTTACCGCTGTTAATGTATTCGGCGCAAAATGTACTTATACGATTTGGACCAAAAGCGCCCTTTTATGACCGATACCGCACTTCCAACACTTCTTTGTTTATTTTGGAGCGAAATACGCAATATTAAAACTATGCAGATATTGATACAGATTTTTCGAAGAAGAAATACAGATGAAAAGATTACAGATTACAGATTTTCTTTTGACAACCCTGATTACGCGTCGGTGAAAGCATCACGCGGACAGGAAGAGCTCCAGCAGACGGAAACAATTCTTTGGCGGCAGGCACAGTGGGACAGTTTTCCGGACGAAATGAGCGTGCTCACGGACAACTTGAAGCGAACTCCGGACGGAACAATGGATCATCGAGTGCAGTTTCGAACCCCTTTGGATACGGTTGTGTTTTAAGTTTGTTCTCTGTTTTGTGCGTGCGTTCGCTTTCATAGTTTTCGGTTGCATATTACCGGATTAGCGCTGGCTCTCTGCCTCCCGGACGGTTATACGTATGTGATTGGTGGTTTTCTCGCTCTCCGGGAAGTTTTAGAATCGAGAAAGAAAACGTGATTCATCATGTTTGCAAGCATCAGAAGAGATGTTGCTGTCTGCGTTGTTTGATTTTTTTGTGCGTGAAAGAGCTCGGCACGATCGGTGTTGATGTTGGTTCGCTTGCAACTATTTTTGCAAAAAAATTAAGTGTTTTCGAACGAAATTGTTATCGAAAGAGTACCAAAAGTACTTCTGAACATATTCCGCAGTTGGGTGTGGTGAAATTCGTGAATTCGCGGTTGATTTTCAGTAAAAAATCCGTATCACAAAATTTCTCACCGAGTTCCCTCACTGTCAGAGGTATTCTTTTTAGCCAATTTATGATACATATATTTTTATCTATTTTTTGTCTCTGTCAGAAAAATTGGTCAATCGCTTTTGAAATGATATTTTTTAAGGATTCAATTAATAAATTATCAACACAGATATCATCACAGATTTTCTGGACAAAAACTAAGATGAAAGAAATTTTTGAATACAACTTTGTCTCAGACGTCATTTCGATTAGAAGTGACGTTTTCGTGCTTTCGCCATTTAGAATTTGTTTGCAAGTTTAAAAATGGCTGAATTTTATAAAAAATATGAAAACGGAAAAGGTCGCATCTGACCAACTCGTCATTTGGCGTGGAACTGCTCTATGGTCAAGCAAAACGAAGGAACGTCCTTACCTCCACTTCGCCGATGTCGATCACGTAGAAGTTGTCGCCCTCGTCGCCCTGCTGTATGATCGACTCGCCCGGCAGGAAGTTGCACGGAAACATCGCATCGAAAATGTCCGACCGTTCGTTCTCGTCCAGGTGGGCAAACAGGACATTCTTGGCGATGGCCTTCGACAGGGCGGCCATTGTTTTGTAGTCCTTCGGAACGACCTTCTTCACGTAGCTGGTGGCATCCTCCTCGCTGACGGGTTCGGCCGAAATGCCGCCACGTCGCCGAACCGGTGGGGCCGTGGTCTGTGGCATCGGGCTGAGGTCATCCAGATCATCCGGGCTGGCGGCCTGTTTACTGGCATCCAGTTTGGCTTGTTCCTAATGGGGGAAAAAAAAGAGATAAGAAGACAACAGAAACCTCAATTAGTATACACCGATGACAACGCGTGCGAAACGGAAATGGTAATTATCAAATTTGCTGTATCAACTCGCGTGTCGCGAGAACGATGGGAAGAAGGCGAGGGGGTTGAGGATAATTTATTGACTCTATCGGTTTGTGTCTGACGGTTGTCAGAAAGCGGGATCTTCTTCGGTTGGGTGTGGATCGGATGGGTCGGAAGATGGGGGATGATGGAAGTGAAAGCCACAAAGCCACAAATTATCGAGCGTAAATTGGATGAGTAAATATTGACGATGAAAATTTCTCCGGGGGTAAAATTTATAGCATCAAGCAGCGGTCAGGTTCTCGGGTTTTCCGAGAAATTTTCAACCAGGTAGTTCTTCCAACACGGGTTTAATGTAATTCAATGTATGTTGTAGTTAATTGTAATTGAGTTCGGCTTGCAGCGTTGAATTAAATGAGCACTAGCAAAAGAACGGGGGCGGTTGTGTTGCAGTGCAGCGTACAGCTAGTGTGAATGTAAAGGACAGCCGACAAATTGAATTATGCATTCAACAACTGTGCAAGCTTTTCAGTTCGTACCGACCAAGTAGCAACAACATTCTGCCAGCGGAAGATGGCTGTCGTATGTAGGGTACTTGCATGTGGGTATGGGAGGTGAGGCGATATTTTTAGAATTAGTATCATTCGTGTTGTGCAGGCTTCATGTTTACGAGCAAATAACGATTCGCTCTATTATACTCCTAATAGAGATAAATGATTGAATTTATGCTGGTGGGTACGTATTTATTACTATGTAGTCAGAGGAAATCAACTACGTGAATGTAGGGATCGATTTTGCTAGTCGAGCTTCACATTTTGAGTAACTCAAGTACACTCACCACACAATTATGGGTCACGTACTTTTACAAGAAATTTATCAGATACTTTATTGATGTGGTATCGTAATTCCCAACTGACCAATAAAAATAAATTAATAAGCCCACGGCTCGTTCAGCTAATATAATCGTCGTCAATTTGAAACTTATGCAACGTCCATCCTTCTAGCAAGCTAAGTAGTGATCTCGAGGGTGCCATACTCATAAATTAATTAAACTAATGCCGCACGTCATCATGCCGTCGTTGTAAGCGTTCCGGTCATTCTACACCAATACATCAAAAGATAATTTCCGTTGCAATCCTTACCGAATAGAACCATATGTGGCTCTAGAACAGGAACCAAATCCAATAATAAAGAAGCTTCCTTCCAAGTGGAAACTATTCCAACCTTCTCCCCATGCTACCGCAGCACGCAGAGACATGTATTGCAGAAAATGAAACAGCTGTTGAATTTCCCATCGGTGCCATTATTATGGAACTAACCAATCCCCTCCACTCTTCACTCCTCGTATGTGTAGTAGGAGGGATTATGAATGGTTCGTCTTTTTTGGATTTATAACGTCCCACTGGGACGCCGGCTCTCAACTAAGTATTCTTTGTTGTTAATTGAGAGCTTTCTATGCCTGTACCATTTTTGCATTAGTATTATTAAACCGGACCGGGAATCAAACCCAACCGCCTGCAGCATGGTCTTGCTCTATAGCTGGCCAATATGAACGGTTCTAGGAGTTTATCCAACAACGGCTACTTCACCCCTGCTGATCGATGAACTGTCCATCAGTGGAAGTAATTTCGTTTAGATGATGCGTATTAATTTCGGAATGCATGCCAGAATTATGCGACCACAATTTATGGATGATAATGCAATTTGAATAACGGATTAGCCAAATGGAATATTCATGCCAGAGCGAACTTGCAAATTTGCACCAAAAACGACGAACGAGATTTTAATCGGTGTAAACATTGTTGGCTCTGTTGATGATCACCTGTTGAGTTGAGAGTGTGCAAATGAACATTTGATTACGGTTGATAGATCGTCGGTGGAAGCGAGACATGGGCGTACCCAGGGGGTCAGACCTTTTTGACCCAAACAATTATTCACTTCGATAGATCGACATCATGCGTATGCGATTGCAGATGAGATTTCGACCTCCTTTGTGACCTTAGACGGGTTGAAACAAGGCGATGTCATTTCAAACTTACTATTCAACATAGCGTTTAGAGGAGCGATTAGGAGCGCCATAATCACACGGTCGTACATGCTTCGTTGCTTTGCGGAAGATATCGATAACATCGGAATAGAGCAGTGGGAGAGGTGTTTGCTTCTTTTAAGGGCGCTAGCAGAGTGAATGCGAGAAGCCACGAGAATGAATAATTCTTGCGTTCAGAATCATAAGGGCCTAACTGCAATGATCGATTTTCTCTACGCATTACCACAGTTCAGTGAATAAATTTATCGAAACTATTTCAATACAGTGTGGTAAAAGGATGTATTAGCTAGCAAAAGCAACATCAAACGCACCGTTAAATTATAATCCAGCCGAGTTATTAATAAATGAGAAAATCGATGAAGAGAATCGACTACCGTAGTTAGGCCCTTTTGATTCTAAACGCTAGAATTATAAATAATAAAAATCCCTTTAAATCTTTAAAGCGCCACACAAAAAACGTCATAACTTTCATAGAATAACATCTAGCAATTCTCAACAACCTTCGAAATATGCGTCTTCGTGTGTTCTAGAAGTCTTTCGAAGGTATTTAGTTCTCAAAATAAAATCGAAAAAAAATGTTTAATTTTTTAGAACCGCCCCAACTAAATATCGAAAAATGTTTATAGAATGATAGATTGATAAGAAAGAATTTTGATTCCTTCAGTGAAGTTGTTTGAAGATAAATTATAACTTTGTAGACGCATGTATTCCTCTAAACCATAAACAGCGGTAAACTCGCGACCCGCCAATATTGAATACAGATGTTATACAAAAAAAAAAAAAAATGCCATGATTATCTGAAACCCAATAACAAAATGACATTGAAACATCCAAACTTAAGTGTTTCACCAAAAAAAAATAAAAAAAATATGCCGATAAAGGTAAACGACAAAATTGTGTTGATAGGTCGTCAAAACGCACAACTAGCCTTATAACAATAATGTAAAATTAAAACTAAAAATTACCAAATCCAGGGCTGTTATAAGATTTTCTAAATTTGATCCGCGAAATCCGCGATTTCTCAAAAGAAATCCGCTACTCATTGCTTATAGCATATTAGATTTTTGCCTGCTCTCAACTTAGTGTTCTTTGAAGTACTTTCACATTTTAATTGAGAACTTTCTTTTCTATGCTGGTACCATCCAGACTGACGCTCGTTTTTATTGTCTAACTGTTCATTTTAATCATCGATTATATTGATGTTTTTTGTTGTGTAAATTTACCATAAATTCGCAACTTTGGTTTTACCCGTACTGCTTGATGATAACGATCCTGCCGCGCGTCGAAATTATCGTGCCTGCTGCAATCCCCGCCAAATTCTGGTTGATCTCCCCGGATGATGTGCAGAAAATTGTGGGTCGCTGTCTTGATCTATCGTCACCGTGTGATGTGATCCGCTTGGTTCCGAAAGGAAAAAATGTTTCGAACATGTCGTTCGTTTCATTTAAGATCGGTCTAGATCCATCGTTAGAACAACATGCGCTGCTTTCGTCGACTTGGCCGGACCAGCCAAAAAACTCTCGCCAAACTTTGAACTAGCCAGTGGACAACGATCAATTTGGAGCTCTGTACTGCGGACGGTGGGAACCCTAGGGTTCCCATCACAGGCGAGTATTGTTTTGTAAATTCGTCTCCTCATACCCTCAACCGTTTTATGTTGCAGCCTGGTGTATCCCCAGTCGATCCTGTTTGGCTTTACTACCAGAACGTCCGAGGTGTTAGGACTAAAATTGACGACTTGCTTTTGGCTGTTATGGAGTGCAATTACGACGTCATCATACTGACAGAGACTGGATTAAATGACTGCATCGATTCTCTGCAAATTTTCGGATCATCGTTCACCGTATTTCGCTGTGATCGTTGCCGCAGGAACAGTGATAAATCGAGCTTCGGAGGTGTACTGATTGCAGTCCATCACCGTTACCGTTGTACTCAAGTTCAGACGCGCCACGGTGAAAGATTGGAACAGGTGTTTGTTGATGCTGTTATTGGTCGTAATCGCTTGCTGATTGGTGCTGTGTACATCCCTCCTGACCGTAGCCGTGATGCAGAGCTGATAGATGAACATGTGGCCTCCGTTCGTGAACTGTGTGACAGCGCTTCGTTTGATGACCAGGTGCTGATATGTGGTGATTACAACCAGCCCCGCCCTACAGTGGTTGCAGAATGCAGACGGCGAGGTGTTTCTGGCTGCAACGTCAACTGTACCTCCAGTAAGTGCTGCTTTGATTGATGGAATGGATTTTTTGAATTTGTATCAAGCTAACTGGATTCGTAACCATTCTGATCGAACACTTGATCTAATGTTTTGTTCGACCAACTGTGGGGTAGCCGTAAATGAGGCTGCTATTGCACTGTTACCTATAGATTTGCACCATCCTCCGCTGGAAATGTTTCTTCCCGTTCAAGCCAGGTGCCAGATTGATGATCCGCACCATGCTGACTGTGAGCCTACTTTTGATTTTGGCAAGATTGACTACGGCCTGCTTCGAGAGTACCTTTCTACGATTGACTGGGCTTGTCTGAATTGTGAGGATGTTAATGAAATGGCTTCTGCTCTATTATTCAACAGTGGTTGCAGAGGAATGTTCCACCCACTAGGCGTCCATTTTCGCCTGCCTGGAGTACGCCACTGTTGCGAGAGTTGCAACGTTAGAAAAATGCCAAACAACGTAAGCATCGTGGTCTACAGTCGTCTGACAGCAAGCTTGGATTCCAACGTGCAGACTAATCTTCGGAAAAATCCAAAAAGCTTTTGGAAGTTCGTCAATAGTAAGCGGAAAAGTTCATCTGTACCGAGCAACGTGAATTTTGACGACGTCGAAGCGAAATCTTCTACTGAAAGCTGCGAACTGTTTGCCAGATTTTTTGCTTCTGTGTTTGACCAA